CCACCCCACGCACTGCATGCGCCACCACCGGTGCTGAACGTGGGGCTCACGCGTCGGCACGTCATGGACGATACGTGCCTCCCTCCCAGGACCGCCTCCACCTGCTGAGTTCACCAGTGGTCTCCGTTTGTCCAATCGGCCACTGGTTTGGACGAAAATCGCATTTGCAGGTGCGTTTTTTGGACAGCTTCCTGTGCCCATTTTCTGCTCAGTTTCTGGACGGTTTTTACTCGTTTTCTGGCCAAAAAATCCACCACAACCTCGCTCTGAGACCATTTGTAGAAATTTGGCCTCCAATCACACCTAAATACTGAGCTCAGAAAAACCAATCGACACCACAAACCATCAACCAATTACTCAACCTCACGCCCCCAATCCCGGTTGCTCACGAGTTGCCAACAAAGGGCAAGGTGTGGATAGTGAGGCAGCCTCAAGAAATAGCCACAAAGGCTAAAGGAGAAACCGAGGCAAGCACAAAGCAAGACCCGAGAGAACAAAGCCACGCTCCTCTCTCCAAAAAACTCACGGCTACTACATTTTCACACACACACACACACTAACAAGAGTAGACAACCAATTAAATAGGTTAAAGAGAAACATGGGCTTTAGGTCAAATAGTAGGGCCCCATAACAAAGTGGATAAGTGGGCTAACAACCAATCAAGCCGTCTAAGGGATTGGGTTGGGCCATGAGCAGCACCAATAAATTGGGCTACTTCAAATGGCCCAATAATAGGTTGGAGGAATGGTTCGTTCAATTGTGATATCGACATTTCACTTCACTCATCGGCCGAGGCCTATGAAGTATAATCCAACAAAATCGATTTAACATCATCTCCTGGATTTATCGGGTATCAAAAAACCCAACAATATATACAACAAGTTTTTTAAAGTTTTAAAAATGCCTTACAAGCAATATTGAACACTTCTATCGAACTTATATGCACTACGCAAAATAATTAAAATTTACAATAAAAACCTTTCTTCTACAAATGAAAATTCAAGCTATATCTAGCCTTACATGAGAAACCGTTTAGGATTTGCAGTTTAAGTTTTGCATATTTTAAGCTACTTTTTTCTTCTTAATAAAATCTCCACATTCAACTAGAAAATGTGGGACATTAGCGGACTTTGAAGTCTCTTAAAGTTAATAAATTCTTTTGGATTATTAGAAGAATGCAATTTTCATTTGTGGAAAAACTTCCACAATGAAAGATACTGCATCCAAGTCATTTCACCGGTTTGACAGTCAAGCCAAGTTTGTTTTATTTATGGAAAAGTGGAGTCCATAATGGTGTGATGAGCACCACTCCTATATATTGTTGGAAGTAACAGTGTTGTGGAATTAATTAATTTTGAATTGTCAAACAAGACAACTTAAACACCGTTTGTTGAACGCCAAACATTAATATCAAAAACATTTAATGTATTCATTTTTGTTGACTAAGATAGTCATACCACCAAATGCCGTATGGAAAATACTGCCAAAAGCTATTGGAAAATTAGTGAAAAGACCAATGATGATAAGTATTTGTGCTTTATCTATATCTATATATTGTAAATTGAACTAAGTAAAAATTAATAGCAGGAAACCTTTATTTTATATATATACACACACACTTTTATCAAACTCGTCATTACAAACCCATTTTAAATTAGCCATGAGCAAGAATGCCATCTTTACGTTGCTGGCAATTCTTTACTTGCTTATGAACATTGTAGCATCTCAAAATAGCTCCAGTGATGAGTATGCTCTTCTAGCCTTCAAATCTCAAATAACATTTGATCCAAATAATGTATTGACTAAAAATTGGTCACAAGGAACCTCTTTCTGCAATTGGATTGGCATTACTTGTGGCACGAGACATCAAAGAGTTAGGGGCTTGAATCTAGCAGATATGGGTATAGAAGCTACTATTGCAAAAGAAATCGGCGAACTCTCTTTTTTGAGATCCTTGATTATTAGCAATAATAGTTTCCATGGATTTATCCCTGCCGAAATTGGTAACTTAAGCCAGCTTCGAGAAATAGAGATGCAAGACAATGAGCTAAACGGTCCTATTCCAGCAAGTCTTGGATTTCTTGAAAATCTACAGACGTTAAATATCTCGTATAATGGACTCACCGGAAATATTCCTAACAGGATTTTCAACCTCTCTTCTCTTATTGAAATTAGTTTTGTAAACAATAGTCTCTCAGGAAGTCTACCTATGGATATTTGCTACAATCTTCCAAAGCTACAAAAGCTAAGAGTTTCAGGGAATCAATTAAGTGGCAACATTCCTCCAAGCTTGGGAACATGCAGGAATCTTGAACTACTTTCGCTGTCGTACAATCAATTTTCTGGAAGAATTCCAATGGAAATTGGGAACTTGTCAAAGCTTCAAATTCTCTATCTAGGAGGAAATAATTTGACAGGTACTTTTAAAGTATTGTTCGTATAAATACATCTCAATTCACTAGATAATATTTTCCAAATTTTTTTGAAAGTAGACCAATATTGTTGTCACTTCAAATCGTAAAACATCTCTTACATGCATATTGATCCGTGTGTTGATGCCCATGGATTATGTCCTTTTACATAGATGCTCTGAAAGTTATGTATGTACGTACACCTGAAAGCTCCATTGTAAATTCTGAAACCAAAAAAATTTGGCCCATAAATTTTTCATGCAAAAGCATGTGGAAAAGTCGACCAACAAACCTATATAAAGAATTAAAGATGTCATCACACCGTATTAAATAAAATAAAATAAAAAAGATGCAATATTCAGTATAACTTGATGGTATAATGAACAAAATCAGCTTTGAGAAATGTGCCTCAACATCTATAGCATTTTCCAAATATTTATTAGAGATACATGGTAATAGCATCAAATCCTACGTTCACAATGAGCTTGGGATGAAGATGGACACTGCTTGTGGCTAGTCTCATTATAATGTTTAGTCGGTATTTTATAATCTTTTCATTATTAATTAGATTTAGTTTTCTATTTTATTTTAATTTTTTTAGTTGGAGGACCTAGAACGCAATTTCAGTTAAGAAAAGTCTAATTTTAAAATTGTCACATATAACGAATATCTTTATGCTGATGGAAAATCTAAATGACAAATGTTTTTCAGCATGTACAGCATTTTCCAAATAATTATTAGAAATACAACGTGCAACAATAACTTCATAGCTACTTAATTATTGAAATCAAATTAGTTTGTAATTCTTCTCTTTACTCAGATCTATTTTGTGTTACTTGAACATTTGTTGTTTTAAAGTTTAAATGGATTGACAGGAAATATTCCAAATGAAATTCGTAACCTTTCAGCACTTGCATATCTAGGTGTGGAGCGCAACGATCTTAGTGGTAAGTAACTAGATGTCCTAAGCTTATTTTATATATTAAGTCAAGTGTTCTAAAAAGCATAATTTGTGGATACCCGTCAAGGTCAAACTTCAAGCTTTTATGAGCCTAAACGGGCAAGGCGTAAAAAAGTAAGAAGTGTGGCTGCAGCATGACCCAAATCCGTGCTTTAGAACACTAATTAAATCTATTTCGATTTGCTTATTTTGTGTTCTTCATAGTTTTATACCAAAACACTAAATTTAAAATTGTCATGTATAACAAAGAATTTTGTGCTGCAAGTTATTAATTGAACATTAAGTTACCGTATAGGCATTTCACACTTTTTTGACAAATGTTTTTGGCATGTATGATTATTATTAGAAATACATCATGAAACAATAAACTTCATGGGAACTTAATTATCGACTTCAAATTAGTTGGTACTTCTCTTTACGTGGATCTATGTTATGGTAATTTAATATTTGGAATTCTAAAATCTATATGTTTAAATGAATTGACAGGAAATATCCCAACTGAAATTGGAAATCTATCAGCACTTGCATATTTAGCTCTGAGTCACAACGGTTTCAGTGGTATGTAACTAGATCTCCCAACATATGTTACATATTAAATCTTGTGTTCTAAAAAGCTAAAGCGTGACGAGACGTCAAGGTCAAGCTTCATGCTTTTACGAGCTTAAACGGACTACGCCTTAGTTTATTGCACAAACATACTTTTTAGAATACTAATTAAATCTCTTTCAATTCATATCTAGGAAAATTTAAAATTTGTCCTATAACAAAGAATTTCTTGTTGATGAAAAATCTAAATGAACCACCTAGGCATTTTACAGTCTTTTGCCAAATGTGTTTCAACATGTATAGTATTTTTCAAATAATTATTAGAAATACAACGTAATAAATTCTCCCTATCCAATCAGCTTGAGAATAAGATGGATACCTCTAGCGGCTAGCCACCTTATCATATTAGTCGTTTCTTTGTTAGCTGCAAATCTGAGTTTTGTACTTTGGAGTATTTTGATTAAAACATTATAAAAGGTGTGAGAGTTTTTCTTTTACGATTTTTGACCTCAAAAGGTTTTATGTGGAATCAACAATTTGTCTGACGTAGATTAATAATTCGAATTATTTATTTTACAAGTTCACAGCCTTTTTAAGAATTAACGTGATTTTAGATTTATTCTTTATTATCAGATGTTTCTTTTGCCCTTCATGACCTTGTTTACTAAATATATATATATTAGAGGCACCAATATTTGAATATAATATTTGATTAAGTTTAACCGATCTCTTTAATTTCAGTATTAACATTTTAATTTTGGATTTTAATTTTGTCCTATAATGTACTCATAGGAAGCATTCCATATGGATTTGGAAACTCATCAACAATTCAATATTTATATTTGAATTGGAATAGCTTAACAGGTAACCTATCTATTATTTATTAGTACTTTTGCAATTCATTAATTTGAGTGCATTGACAAACACCATAACACAGGTATAATTCCACATTCAATTGCTAGTTTATCAAATCTGAAGGAATTGGTTGTCGGTTATAACAGTCTTCATGGACATATCCCGCGAGAATTGGGACTTCTATCAAGTTTGGAACTGTTAGATTTTTCTGTCAACAATCTTCAGGGAAGCATCCCACAAGAATTGGGACGTCTATCCAGTTTAAAAAGGTTAGGTTTGTCTATCAACAGTCTTGAGGGTCACATACCTGATTCTATCTTTAATCTCTCCATGTTACGGATACTTTCTCTTTCTGATAATAGTATCTCCGGCAATCTTCCATCCTCAATTGCCAATGGACTTCCTGTTCTCGAAGTTCTCTATCTTGGTGGCAATCGATTAAGTGGAAAAATTCCTGCCTCTATTTCAAATTTTTCTAAGCTTACTGTTTTGGATCTTGGTAACAACTCTTTCAGTGGACAAGTACCCACGAATCTTGGGAATTTACAGAACCTACAGTTTCTAAGTTTTATGGGTAATCAGTTAACAAATGATCCTTCAATGCTTGAATTGGATTTTCTTACTTCATTGCAAAATTGCTGGAAGTTGAAGAGAATAGGGATAGGATTAAATTCTTTTGACGGGATATTACCCAAATCGTTGGGTAATTTGTCATCAACTGTTGAATTTTTCACAGCCAGTTATTGTGGTATTAAAGGTATCATTCCTAACGAAATTGGTAATATGAGAAACTTGTTAGAGTTGGACATTGGAGGCAATGAATTGACAGGAACAATTCCTACCACATTGGGTCAATTAAGAAAATTGCAAAAGCTGAGACTTGATGACAATAAACTACAAGGGTCAGTGCCTGTCAACCTCTGTAATTTGGAAAATCTGTATTATCTAGATTTGGGGATTAATCAGCTTTCTCAAGAGCTACCAACTTGTTTAGGGCATCTTACCTCTTTACGAGAAATTTATTTAGATAACAACTCATTGACTTCCACTATCCCATCCACACTGTGGACTAACAAGAATATTCAGATTTTGAGTTTCACTGATAATTTGCTGAATGGGTCGCTGGCTCCAGAAATTGGAAGCATTGAGGGCATGCGAGAGTTATATCTATCGGGAAATCAATTCTCAGGTTATATTCCAAGCACTATAGGACAACTTCAGAATTTGGAAAATCTATCATTATCAAACAATCGATTACATGGTCCTATACCTGAATTGTTCGATAATCTTATTTCCTTGAAAATGTTGGATTTGTCCAAGAACAAACTCGATGGTGTAATCCCCAAGTCATTAGAGAAACTTGAGTACCTTGAGTATTTCAATGTTTCGTTCAATGAACTCAATGGTGAAATTCCAAATGAAGGGCCTTTCAAGTACTTCACGACAGATTTTTTCATAGGCAATAGAGAATTGTGTGGAGCATCTCATTTTAAGGTCAAACCATGTGAACATAATACAACAAGAATATCAAGCAAAACTAGAGTTTTGAAGTATATTTTACCATCAATTGCCGTGGTATTTATTTTGGCCATTACCATGGTTTATTTAATAAGACGCCATAACAAAAATAACCTTCTTCCAACTCTTGATACTTCCCCTATCACCATCAAGAGGATTTCATATTTTCAATTGCTGTTGTATTGAGTCTGGCCATTACTGTGGTTTATGTAATAAGACGCCATAGCAGAAGTACACTTCAACCAGCTCACTCTACTTCCCCCAGCATCGTCAAGAGGATTTCATATTATGAAGTTCTAAATGCTACCAATAAATTTGGTGAAGAGAATTTGATTGGCAAGGGCAGTATTGGTTCAGTGTATAAGGGAACATTTTCAAATGGAATGATTGCTGCTATTAAGGTTTTTAATCTAGATTTGGAAGGTGCAAACCAAAGTTTCGATACAGAGTGCCAAATACTTTGCAACATTCGTCACAGAAATCTTGTCAAGGTAATTAGTAGTTGCTCTAACCTTGATCTTAAAGCTTTGGTGATGGAATATATGCCTAATGGAAATCTTACCAAATGGCTGTCTTCGAGCAACTATTTCCTAAATTTAGATCAAAGATTGGAAATAATGATAGATGTGGCATCTGCACTAGAGTATCTACATCATGGGTATCCTTCTTCAATTGTTCATTGTGATTTGAAGCCCAGCAACATACTTTTAGATGAAGATATGGTTGCTCATGTTGCAGACTTCGGCATTGCCAAGCTTTTCCCTGAAGACCAGAGAATTTCGATTACCAAGACGTTGGGCACCATCGGATATATGGCTCCAGGTAAATGATTTCTATCATCTACTTGTGTATAGAGTTGCACATGCTAATAGTGTAACCGTGTATTACTTATTAGTACTTATTTATTTATCCATCATTTAACATTTTACTAGCTAATTTGATCATATGTCCCAATTTTGTAGAATATGGATCAACTGGATTAGTATCAACTATGGCGGATGTTTATAGTTATGGGATTATGCTGATGGAAACATTTACCAAGAAGAAGCCAACAGATGATATTTTTATCGGAGAGTTCACAATGAGGAAATGGGTGCTTGAATCATTCCCAGATGCAATAACGCAAATAGTAGATGTCGATTTAGTGAATGCTGCTGAAGACAATATTCGAGCTAAGGAGAGTTGCTTCAGATTAATCATGGAACTAGCACTAGAATGCACGACTGATTTGCCCGAGGAGAGGCTCATTGCTAAAGATGTTCTAACAAGGCTCAAGAAGATCAAGACGAAATTTTGTTAAAGCATATAACCGAGGTGGAACAAGACAAATGGTTTGCTTCTTATTGAGAACACAAAAAAATGATAATTTGAATCAAAATCTACTTTCTTTTTTCACCAGTAATCTTTAAAGCTTATAATATGTTGCTATTACAGGAAACTTGGCTATCGTTCTGAAGATTTTTAAGCTCTGTTGGCTTCCAATGTTGTGTTGCAGAGTGTTGTAGCTGTTTTGTGGCACCAAAATCTGTACTGCAAAGTAATTCGGTTAATGAATAAATAATGTTATGCATTTAGTGTCCGTAATTAGACTACGTTTAGATAACTGGTTAATCTACTGTAAGTTATGGCATGAGAAAACATTTTGGTACCATAAATTATGTTCATTATGTGAGAATATTGTTGTCTTTTATTCTTATCCACTTCATTTGCCTTTGACACCAGCCATTAATACAAAGCAGCAGCAAATTGTACAAAAAAGCACCAAAATGATCAATAATAATAGAAAAATGTCAGATGTACATTAAAAGATGTACATCAAGGTGTACATCACCTCACATGGAGAGGCCCACTTGAATAAAATATTCAAGTGGGTCCATTACCCATGTGAGGGGGGTGTATACCGTGATGTACACCCCGATGTACCTCTAGCATTGCTCATAATAATAATTTAAGCTAATGAATGTTGAAGTAATATATTTGAAATTTCCAATCATAGTAAGAGAGGGAAGGAAACAAGATGGTAGATGCAATTTTGGTAACCAACATGATGCATATTTTTATGAACTTCTATAGTCACTAATGAATTATTTGTCAAGGTACACAGTAGTATTCAGAGTATTGAGGAATAAAATAAATTTAAAATATTTTACAAGTGGCTTATCTCAATAACTTGGTGACCTTCACCACGATCATCTAGCTCATCTCCTGCACCACATGGCGCTTTATTACCACTAGAATTATCTAGCCCATTCACCTGCTCATGTCTCATAAGTCATAATCTTAACTGTAACCAATTAATATTGAACTGATAATGTGAGGGGTCTTGCTGATTTTATAAACAAGATAAAGTTGATCTCAAAGAAAACCTGACTAAAGTTTTACCCAGTGCATGAATATATATTTTATTAGTACTTCACATAATGCTATTTTTTATACTACAAAGAACTAATAGACAGCTATCGCTCCAGGGAATGACTGATCGCATCATTGGAATGAGAAGTGCTTCATAAGAAAACCTTGAAAAGTTAGGTTCGCCTCTTTTATGGGAGCACATAAACAAGCAGGTTTCACTACTTGTCAATCGCTCGATTTTTTTGTTTCGTAGTTAAATTTCTCGAAATGCTATCAATGTGAATTCTACAATTATTTTTATTATTATGAACAGATTGGGATGCAAATTTGCTGATATGTATACATTAAAGCAGTATGGCTGGAGTCACTACTGTCAATGTTGGTTACTTGGCCAATGCTATTCATGAGGTCACTAAATCGGCTTAGGGAGTTACAGCTTTACAAATACAATAGAGTTAGTCATGCTTATGCCTTTATCTTTCTAGGCTTAGGGATTCTTACGCTCAGCATCGTACCCCAGATTGTTCATTAGGCCTTCTATAATAAGACACGGATGGATCAAGAGCTAGTAATTTTATTTCTCTTGATTTGATGGACAAATATTCTTTATGCCCTTTGTAAGTGTAGTAAATTTGGAGAGAGTCTTCAATCTATTAAGAAAGGATAATGCTATTGTACACCTTGTATATTCTGATATTCCATTTTCCATTTTATTATGTGATGTTTGAAAGTTGGTGAACGTCAATTTTGCTTTTGATGTTAGTCATTATGTTAGCTCATCTTTCTAAATTTTTACTCACAATAGTATGTGAACATCAAAAATTGACAACAAAAAATTGAAAATAAATAGTGTTCAAAAAATGGTAATTCATCCCCATATGTTAAAATTTTGGAGATTGCGACATATTTATCTATGGGTACTAACAGATGATTGAGACATTAAGTTTAGCCCGTGTTTGGTTCTCATATTAGATTTTAATAAAAATTCAAGAAATTTTGGTTGAAAAGTGGATAAAAGTTGCGGATATCATGAAATGTGTTGTTGAAAATGAGTTTTAAAAGATGGAAGCCAAACACGAACTTCGTAACTAGGTGATGAAGATTGAGAATAAATTGAATTTGAGTGATTTGTGTGAGAAATTAATGTTGAACGATTTAATAGATATTTCATTTCAATTTTAGTGATTAAAAATGAAGTTTACCCTATATTTGATGTCTTATGCTTTGTGACATGTTTAGTACTTCAAACTGAATTAGACTAATATTTCATCAAACATTAAATAGGTGCATGGGATTGGAGGAAGGAAAATAGCACTACAACAAAAACAACCTACATGTTAAACTTTATGATCATTATACGTTAAATTTTGTTCGATTGATATCTAGATCTACAATATTTAATTTTAGATGATAACCTTGATAAGTGCAGCAACTCTTTGTCCATTATATGCAAAGATACTATTCAACACTGAGAAACACGAAGATACATTAGATAAAAAGATAAGTAAATGCTATAAGGATCCCATCAAGATAAGTAAATTGAAGTGATAACCTTGATAAGTGTAGCCACTCTTTGTCCGCAAAGATACTATTCAACACTGAACAACACGAAGATACATTAGATAAAAAGATAAGTAAATGCTATAAGGAGCCCATCAGGATAAGTAAATTGAAGATTGTTGGCTCGATTATGACAGGACTATGTCACAAGGTTTAAGACCAAAATGATGTAAACTGATTTAGAGAGTTCTCTCTAAATGCTTGAAACTCAAAAAAAAAATTAAAAGAACTAGAAAAATGAAAGATAAAACAGAAATAAGCCTATCAAAATCATCAGAAGCTTAAGGCATCAACTCATTTATTTTGAAAGCAATAAAAAACATATTGACAAAATCTTAATATAGCAATCTTAGAGTAAGACTGGTAGGATATGTCGCATAATCATCCCAATGTACTTGGACAATCAAACATGATCCAAATACATATGAAGTATTACGTAAACACAAGGATATGGTCTGAACATAATGCTACCGATGATGTAACTTTTATTAGCTAAAGGGCTAAGGTGGAAATAAACCACAAATAAACATAATTATCCCTAAATTTGGTTTTTTTTGAAATGGTTGGTTAAAAAGCATGTACGAGGTTAAAATAGTCTTTTTATGTATAAATATCATGAATAGAGCAGCAGCATTCATTTAAAACATAGAGTAATGTGTCATTTGTAAAAGTCAAGTAATACCTCTAAAGTTTTGCTGTAATGGCTGCTAGCTCTGGCTCAGGTTTTACACCAAACCTACCAACATAACTCCTTAAGCAGAAACTTCTGAAACCATTATTATTTTATTAGATGACATTTTTGGTGGGTGGGTGAGAGAAATTAAGGAAAGAAAAGTAATAACAAAATAATCTTCTCTGTCACATGTGAACCATTTTAAACTTTCCCTTTGATAATAACAATGAATTCTTATGAATGCAAGACCTACAGAACTTTGAATACAAATATCAATAATTTAACTAAAATAAATTAGTAAGACTAGGTGTCAGCAATAATTTCCTTCGTCCCAACCATATAGATAAAATATCACGAAAGGAAGATAAATATTGTTTATTATTTACAGTTTTGTATTGTCTGTCTATCACGGTGTAATAATATCTACATAGTTGTTGAACAGAAAGTGTAGAGCATAGAAAAATAGAATCAGTCTGTCCAGTTCAGTATAAATGCATAGTCGAGGATTTGATATAAGGTATCACTGCAAGCACCCACACTTAAAATAACCAGACAATACCCCCTCAATAATTGGATTGAGCCCAAGAAAAATAAGGCATCACTGCCAGCATCCATACTTAAAAATAACCAGACAATACCTCCACACCCCCCCCCCCCCCCCCCC